AACATCAAATTCACAATTTCTGCTCTAGTATACTCTTACATTTGTATGTAAACAAAAATATTCAGAAAAGGCCTCAAGCAAGTTTATAAATATTTTTATGATACTGTTTGGCACAGCTAGCTATTTTATAAAATGTAACTTTTATAGTGGTCTATCACTTGTAAGCTCACCTTACGACATTAATCCTTAAGCAACATGTTATGTTCATCATTTTTGGACTCAATTTTGGTGAGATCATTTGTTTAGGTAACATCAATAACATTTGAAAATAATATCTCTTTTCCAAACAATTTCAATTTAATATATAGGACCAAAACTTGGCTTAAGCATCATTTAAATCAATTATCTAATCATTGAAATAATCAGGAATTAAACTTTATTATAGAACTGTGCTTTGACATGCTTAAAATATAATATGTGAATTATTGTTTCAAAAATACATTCTTATCTTGTTCCACAGGGTATTAGCCTGAAAAACCATAAGATATTGATGTTTAATATTTTCTTTTCTATAAATGGAAATGACTAATTTCAGAAAGATAGATAAATATGCACATAGATAATATATATACATGTACATACACATATAGATATAAAACAATTACATATATAAAGGGATTTTCATTTTCAGGCCAGTATATTTATCACAGATCTCTTTAATTTTAACTTTGCATAGTAATCTTACATGAGATAATTACAAGAAAAAGTGAAAACAAATGAAAATATAGAATATAGGAAAACTAATTTCCTAAGAATGTACTAGAACTAAATTCTGTGTGGCAGAAAAAGAAAAGGCTGGTCTGGACAGCATGGACAACAAAGCTGAGTGATGGGTTTTACCTTTTATAAGGTAGAAGTCTAGGCTACTACAAGATTTTAGAAAGATGAGAGACAAATAGCATCAAGGTCTCAAAACTGTAGCCCATAATTTTATTTCAAATGTGTTGTAACATGATATGATTGCAATTTCTGGACAAGAATTCATCATTCTATCTACTTATATATTGCCATACCCTGACAACAGAGGTATCATCTTAAAACATAAGGACCAAAATTTTTGAAATATATGTATAAACCTCTTCTATTACTTAGGACATTCTTAACAATTGTGCTTTTATGGATGGGGTTTTCTCATTAACAATATCCTTCATCTTCAGTTAAAGCATGGGTGATTAAGTGAAAGAAATGCAAGAAATCAGGGAGGAAGGGAAAATTGTATAACAGTAACCTTCCTCTGACTGAGTTGTATAATGTTGGGGTGGTTACTTCATTCAGTCATCCACTTCCATACCTTTAGCATAGAAATGACATTAATAGCAACACATTACGGTTTCATGAAGCTTTGGGATAATATGTATGATACTTAATGTATACATGAAGCTCAAAATCCTAGATATTAAATATTAATAGGCATCACTTCCACAGGTAGCGCTGAAACTAGCACAGATACAATGGAACAAAGCACAACTTCTGTCAGCAAATCCAAATTGCACTGAGATCTCATTCCAGAGCACCTCCAGCTTCTGTCACACCAGAAGTCTAACACTTATAAGTCCTAGATCCTAAAAGGTGACTTTATGTTTACGTTTGTAAAAAAAAATGAAGTTGACGCGCAAGTTCCAAACTCTCCTCTCAGTGTGCCTAGCCTGCTAATAGCATGATACCAGCCACTTTAGACTGGAGTCCTGGAACATAAGCTGACTTGAAGCAATGTAATCAACGAGCATGCACTATGCAACAGTATTTTATGTGTATTTACAAATTCAAATTTACAGTGTCAAAGGAAATTTGTTTCCCAAAGATTCCAAATTGATAGAAACAAAAAACCCCAAATGTATGGTTAATATGGCATTTTTAGTCACTTTTAACAGTAACCAACAGATTCCCATCAACATGAAAAATTGGAAATCTTATTTCATATGTATGAGAACACTTTTCCTTCTATTGGCTTTATTGCTTACAAAGTACTTTTATGAAAATTATTTTATAAAGTAATTATTAGTCAAAGTGGTTTAAAACTTAAGATTTACTTTACTGATTTCTTTCTCATAACACTGTTTTGAAGGGATTTAATTTATATAAGAAGGAAAATCCTTAGAATGTTTCATGAATTTAAAGATAAATACTTATATTCATTCTAATTTTTTCATATGGAATCAATACATAAAAGCTTCTTGCACAATAGGAGCTAAAGCGCAGGTATTTATCTTAGTAAATCTAATATTTCTGTATGTGCATGCCTGTGTTAGTATGTGAGGATATTTCACTTGTTTATGTTTTACATATAAGAAGATTTGTAATGCAGCAAGTTAAATCTATTAAAATTGAATGCTGGCTATTGCATTTACCACAGTATTGAATAACGAATCATGATTGTTCAATAGAAATATAAGAAAAATTGGCAAAAATACAACAGTTGTGGAAAATCTAGCCTTCTTCCAGTATTTGACAAATTAAGTAAGAAAAAGGATGAGAATACACTATTTTTTACAAGTGGTCTTGTGATTATTTCTGAAATGAAAACATCAACTATTATTAAGTAATGACATTATATGTGATATAAAATAGATAAAAAATGAGTTCCCACTTTTAAAAATCCACTGTCTAATATTCCACTTTTGGTAATGTGACAAATGAGATACAGAAAAGAGCCATCACGTTGCAAAATCCCTGGAAGTTTCATTTCAGACCTTCGCATACAAGAAGCATCACCTTTCTGAACATACACATACCTGCAAAATTGTCTTAGGTGTGATTTGGTTTTCCAAATTTTGGAAAACCAGCAAATATGGAAACCATGAAGATACAGATCAATCTAACTCAAAAAAATGGTAATAAATTGAACAATTTCCCTTAGCAAATAAATTTTAGCAGAAGTTTCCATTCTGATATATGCACTTCTCCATTTCCATGCATAGTAATATTTTAACCTATGCTTTTTCCTTTGAATTCTGTTTATGTGCTTTTTATAGGGATATTTGTCTAATTCACATACTATGAAGTTAAATACAAATGTGAATGCTTGCTAAATTCTCACCATATTGTATGATAGAGACAATATGATTGCCATTAACACCCCACAGAATACTTCCCTTTGCTTCAAACACTTACTCCATCATTCTTTCCACTTTCTGAAGCAGTTCTGAAAACCTTTTTCGTAAGTGTTGTTACTTGTGCTGTCATGGCAGCCTTTTTATCCCTACTTTTACTATTCACAGTCACTTTACTGTTAGGGAAGAGTCACAAGTCACATGATGCCATAGTAGGTGGATGAGGACACACCATAATATTTTTACTTGACAGAGAGTACCGTAAACATTTGATCAGTTGGGGTGATCAGGATATACGATGAATGATCAAATTTAAAACTATGACAATAAAAGACACACTGCCATTGTCCTCTCTCAAAATTCTCCCCCCTTTCAGCACATCCCATAATTCTTGGCATTGTGTTTCATTGTAATAAAATTTTCTAAAATTTAAACATTTATCATAGTTTTGATCGTGCGTTGTAAAATATATATATATATATGTGTATAATCTCACAGTTGATTTTGACTTTCCATATTCACAGGTTCCATATCTGCAGATTCAAGTAATCATGAATCAAAGCTATTAAAAAGTGGTGTGTGTTTTAAATATGTAAAGGCTTTTTTCTTCTCATTATTCCATAAGCAATATAATATTACAATTGTCTACATAGCATTTATGTTGTTTTAGCTGTTATAGAAATCTAGGGTTTATTTAAAATACATGGGAAGATATATGTAGGTTATGTGCACATACTATGCAATTTTTATGAATAATTGAGCATCCTCTGACTTAAATATTCATGCAGTGTAAGGACAGGGCTACAACCAACTCCTCATGGATATAAATGGACAAATCTAGATAGAGATACAGATATAGATATGTGTGTGCAGATACAGATGTGTCATCAGGAAAGTTAAAATTCCTATTTATTTGGTTCTTGTGTTTATCAAAATACTAATTAGCAAACAACTTTCTAAATTACCTATAAAAATTCCAGATTTGGAAGAGATAAAATTATACATAGACAAAAATAATGAACTTATTATAGAATGCCATAGATATGACATTACAGGATGCTCTAAAATTATATTAATTAGCTATTTATTATGCTAGCTATTTCTGCTTATTTCCTGCAAACAACTTTGATCTAGAATATGAAATATTTTAATTTAGAGAAAAGACAAAATTTAGCGTGCTGAAAAGTGAATTAGAAAAAATTAAAGCTGATAAGATTATTAAATATTATTACAAAATTATTGATTAAATTATACAATGTTTTATGACAGAGTATTTGGAAAAATAAACATTTGCCCAATTCTGTTGCCACTAAATAAATTAACAGATATACACATTGTAGGAGAACTTCTACCAAAAAAAACTAAAAGCACATTTTTAACTGTATATTAATATCCATATGGAAATGAATTTTAAATCTAGGGTCCATAAATCATAGGTTGACTTTGATATGACAAGTAGTGTGCATTTCTTGACAAGCAGACTGTTGTTTAAGTTAAATAACTCAGAATTTTAGATCAACATTGCCAATAGATGGGTGTCAATCTCCTGGAGCTATACTCTCCTCAGAACTCGCGTGATAAATGGAAGTTAGGGGTGATAGTGAATCTAGGCCATATTGAACAGATATCTAGCAATAATCCTCTTTGTATCACAATTGCCACTGTTTGCTGGGAATACACCCTTAATAAAAACATACTCTATAGAGCTATTCTATATAATATGTAGACTATTTCAAAATACAGTAAATTATGTAAATTATGAACAGAATTGAGGTCAAAATTGAAGATATGTTAAATGTTTTATTGTATTATCTTTGATGTTTAATTAAAAATTAGTACAATTATCCATTGCACAGTGATTTAAGACAGTGATACCTTGATCATTTGTTTAAGCACTACAGTATAAAATATATACTGTATACAGGGTTAAAAATACTTTTTTCTTTCAAGGTAACTGAACTGCACAACATCAAAAATATTACCAGACTGCCTCGAGAGACGAAGAAGCACGCAGTGGCCATTATCTTTCATGACGAAACATCCAAGACATTTGCGTGTGAGTCAGGTAAGCAATTACAGGGCCTTCTGCAGCTTGAGGAAACTGACTTGCTCTAAGGCAATGAGTCAGACAGGTGAAGGTACACGTCAGGATAGAATGGCTTATTGTAATGAGAAGTGTTGTAGAAGATTTTAGGAGAAAGTTCAATACAGTGATTTCTACCGATGTTTTGGGTACCTTGTGTTATGTGCCTATGTCTGGATTTTGAACTTAGGTTGTCTCAGGACTCTCAAGGTTTCTGTTCAAACCTTGAGAATTCAATAAACAATACCTGGGAGACATTGTGAGGGTGAACATGTCATTGGTACTCTGGATTTACTGTGGGTAAATATGTGTAGGCATTTGGTAGGGCAATCCTAATGGTACCGTCTAAAACATGACCAAGCACAGCCTAACTCTCCAGGGGTTTCAGAACAGAACTTTGAGCAGTTTGTTGCTTTCATGGTTCCTTAGTGCTACAAGTAAATGCAATTCAAATTGAATTTGAATATACCAGTTCATGAAGCACTCTGACATTACTGAGACACCAGCAGTTTGTAGTTTGAACTTGCTGTATTTTTTCATGTTGGAATTCATGTGATCTGTACTGTATTAGTTGACCTATTGCTTTTTAAAGATTTTGCTCAATAGAATGGTGTGTTCATTTTATAATGGATGTGAGCAAAAAATTCAAAGAGCTTAAAATATGTGAATTTAAAACAATAGTCAAGTTTGTAGAAAAAGCTTTATTATTTTTAAGGGGAAAGTAAAGCTTCAGTTTTGTACAGGTAAAGTTCATTGGTATAATAAATACCAGGTTATATTATTATTCTAACACTGACAGTTTCACTTTGCCTAACTAAACCTGCTCACATTTCCTCACTTGCACTCACCTTACTTTTGCTAATTTGATGTGGAATTCATCAAAATCTTCCTCTTTCCCTGAGTGCCTCAGTCAATCAGTCTTTCTGGCATATTCTTCTTCACAGGCCATCTGCCCTCATCTTGTCATTTAAATAAATCTTTTGGAGTTGAAATCTGTTTATTGGTAAAATATATCCTTATTTTGTAGTAAAACTTTTAACTTCACTACTAAAATATATTATTATTCAAAAACATTTTCATCTTCTTATTCACTGTCTTAACACTGAACACTTCATTTTCTCTGGGATCATAAATATATTATGTTTATGTCTTGTATTAAAAGTAACAAGCATAGAATTGTCATTTAGAAAAAGACAAGGGAAATTTTTGCTACCTTAATTTGTGATTTTTCACTATTGTTTTACATTTTGGAAATTGTACGGAGCAATGTTGTGGATGTTTTAGTGAATCTGGAGTCTGCTATCTCAGAAAAGAATAATTATATTTATTTAAGTATAAATTTTATTTAGATTTTCTTTGAAGACACGTCTGTTTCATTACTTCATTATTGAGTATATTATCTTTATCACTCTGATTTTTACTGAGATTGCAGTACAAATATTAGTGAACACATTTTTATGTATTTACATATTTTGCTTATTTGATTTAAATTTTTATAACGTGTTCTTCACTTAACTTCCTATCAATTTTTAAAGCTAGTCCTGGGAATATTATAAAGCACATGATACTGATCACTTTTAAATTTTTACAGTCTAGAAAATGGGAAAGATTACCTATATGTGATGCATATGAACCACGTATAAGCCTATTTCATACATGTGTAGCACTTTCTTGTTATGTTATAACATTTTGTTTTATGTCACTTAATTTTTCTCTGCTTCGTGGCTCACAGGACCTATACCAGTGGGCTAGAGGGAGACAGAGCTCTTATTTCCCTTCTGATACTTAACATGGTTTTAAAGAAGATGCATTATTCACACACCACCCATACTATTGTTTTCACATTATCTCAATTGCCTAGATTAGAGCTATTCTTCTCTATAATGTATTAATATTCTTACAAAAATTCTGAAGCTCTCATTCCCACACTTTATTTTTGTTTGTTTGTTTGGTTTTTTTTTGGTTTTCGGTTTTTCTCCGGTACCGGGAACTGAACTCACAACCTTGCGCTTGCCAGGCAGGCGCTTTGCCGCTGAGCTAAATCCCCAGCCCCTCATTCCCACACTTTAAATTTAGCAGTACCTGTGAACCTGTGCCACTTGGTACTCTTCAAGTAAGAGCTCAGGAGCGGTGCTGAACCGTGCACCACAGAGCACCAGGGTGCTCAAAACAGTCAGTCTGTGACCAGACCTGTGACAGCCAGGGCTTCCAGTCCTGGCACTACAGTTTCAGCACTGCATCTTCACCTAGATGTCAGCATAAACAGAATACACTCCTGTATTCTGAGTCCGCCAAGTTCTTGCATTTTAAAATTTATAAAAAGCTCTTAGGATGCAAAATTTAGAAATAAAATCCCAGAGAACACCTAGCATCTTTGTCTTAATTTCTAATAATAGAACTCAGCACTTCTTGGAGAAATGACTGATTCTAGGGCTGGGGCAACAAAAATGCAAGATAAACTCAGAGTATGTGGCAGTGCCAGAAAGTGAGAAGGTACTTTTTTTAATTAGGGGATGTCAAAGTGACATAAAAGTTCTTAAAGGTCAAAGCTGTTGAAAGCCTTTACAAAAAATTGACTAAAAATTAAATACTATGGGATAATAATCCAAGTTATGAAATATTTGTAAGTCAATGCTGATATACATGTTCAAATAAATACATGGGAGCACACAAACACCCTGTAAAAAAGAATTTCAAATAATTTATACAAATATTGTGCCCTCAGAGAAAGAGTGTATAATCCCCAATCTTTATGTAAGAGATGTTCCCTGGGATTTCCTTCTAAAGGGGATAGTATAGAAAGGAATGGAGTGAGAGAGAATAATTACAGTGGAAAAACCTGACCGGCACTTCATCAGATGATGATCAAGGTCACCATCACCAGGAAATCAGGATCTTGTTCCTTGAAAAGATAAACAAAGTAGGCAAACCCTTAGCTAGATTAGGGAAAGGAGGAGACAGAATCACAGACGAAAAGGGAGACATTATATTGGACATAGAAGCATGAGGATTGTTGGGGATTATTATTACCAGCTATCTGCCAACGAATTTGATATCCTAGAAAATGGACAAATTCCTGGATGTATACACTTTACCAAGATTGATTCATAAAGAAATAGAAAATAAAAACACATCAACAATGAGTGATGACATTAAATCAATATTTAAAACTATTCTATAAGAGAAAAACCTAGGAACACAGATTTCACAGTTGAGTTCTACTATTTAAAGAAATACTAGTATCAGTTTTTCTTAAATTAGTCCAAGAAATTTGAAGAGAATGGTATTCTCCCAAATTCATTCTCTGCTCATTCTGCAAAGCCAGCATTTCTCTGACATCAAAACAGAGAAAGGACAAAGACAAACAAACAAAAAACAAAAACAAAGTATAGGCAATATCCAAGATGAATATAAATACAAATATCCTTAGATAGTATCAAAACAAAGCCAAAGCATATTATAATTTATACCCACGATGGTCAATTGGAATTCATCCCAGGGATATAAAAATGGTTCAACATGCATAAATCAATAAGGATGATACACCACATCAACAAAATGAAGAACAAAAGCCATATGATCTTCTTCATAAACTCAGCGAAGGCCCTAGATGAAATTCAACATCCTTCATGTTTAAAAACCCTGAACAAATTAGACGTTGAAGGAGTATACCTCAACATAATGTAGACTACTTTTAACAGGCCAACCAAGAACGTCACAGAGAATTGGAGAAAACTGGAAATTCTCTCTTAATATCTGCAGCCAGATCCAGATGCTCATTTTACCACTTTCGTGGAACATAGTACTAGAAGTTTTAGCCACAGTGATCAAGCAAGTATAAGAAATAAGGGCATCCAAACTGAAAAAGAGGAGTCTGTTTGTGGATGATACAGTATAAATAGAGAAAACCTCAAGGACTGTAACAAAAAATAAAAACATTACAAGTAATGAATGAATTTAGAAATGTTGCATGTTGTAAAGCAATGTACAAACATCAGTCGTGTTGCTGTGTGCAAATAGCCAGTTATCGGAAATAGAAATCAAGAAATCAATCCCATTTATAACAGCTATGAAAAAATAAAGTACCTAGGAATAAATTTAACAACAAAAATGAAAAATCTTTACAATGAAAATTATTTACAATGAAAATTATAGAATATTAATGAAAACAATTGATTTACAAAAAGTGAAAATACTTCAGTGTTTATGGAGTATAAAATATTATTAAAATACCCATAGTATCCAAAGCAATCTACAGATTCATAAAATACCTGTCATAATGCAAATGACATAATTCATAGAACTAGAAAAATAATTTCTGTATTTGTATGGATCCACACACAGTCAAAACTCAAAGAAATCTTGAGACAAAAGAACAAAATGGAAAGCTTTTTTTTTTTCCAGTACCGGGAATCAAACTCACGACCTTGCACTTGCTAGGCAAGTGCTGTGCTGCTGAGCTAAATCCCTAGCCCCCAAAAGAACAAAACAGAAGGCATTATATGGCTTGATTTCAAAACATACTGTAAATTTGTAGTAATGAAAACATCATGGTCTTACAATAAATGCAGACACAGAGACCAGAGGAATAAATTTAAAAGTCTTGAAGTAAACCCACACCTCAACAGCCAGTTGATTTAGGAAAAGGTCCTATGTACCCATGCTGGATAGAGGTCCACCTTTTTAATAAATGGCATTGGGAAAATTGAATATTCGCATGCATAAAGTTCAAACTAGATGTCTATTTTTCATCAGTTACAGACACTACCTCAAAATGGACTAGAGACTTAAATACAATACAAGACATTACTAAAAGAAAATCTCAGGAAAATGCTTGTGCACATTGAAACAAACAAGAATTGCTGGGAGTGGGTAGGACTGAGAATGCAAAGCTCCAAACCAGAAGAAACAGAAGCAAAAAGAAACAAATGTGATAACATCAAGCTAGAAAGCTTCTATATAGCAAAGGAAATAACAGGGTA